GAGTTCCTGGCCTACCTGCTGGACCCGCGCACGCGCCGCGACGAGCCGTTCAACGAGCACTGGGAGCGCGCCCATGAGCTCTGCCACCCGTGCCGCCTGCGCTACGACGTCGTGGGCAAGTTCGAGACCCTGGCGGAGGATGCGGCCTTCGTGCTGGGCCTGGTGGGCGCGCCCGGCTTGCGCTTCCCCGCGCCACCGCCCCGGGCCAAGGCAGCCGCCTCCCAGGCCCAGGCCGTGCGCCTCTTTCAGGACATCAGCCCCTTCTACCAGCGGCGCCTCTTCGACCTCTACAAGATGGACTTCCTGCTCTTCAACTACTCCGCCCCCTCCTACCTGCGGCTGCACTAGCCCGCAGTGCCCCCAGCCTGGCACACTGCGGAGGCTCGAGGCTACGGGCGGGGCCCGAGAGTGGGAGTTTCTGACCGGCCCGGGACCCCACTCTGACAGCCACTGCGCTGGGCCAGCATCACACCTGGCCCGGTTTGGGTGCAGCCCACCTCAGGTGCTGTACAACTGTGTGCCTACCACCTGTCCTGCCCATCGCCTGATGCTTGCTTCCTCTAGTGCTCTAGCTGACAGGTACTTCCCCGGGATCCTGGGGTGGGTGGGTATTGGGTAATAGCATTTTAAGTTGCAGAGAGGCCATTTTTTGTCAGCTGTCTCTGTACCTGTCCTTGGCAGAATGCTGGCTCAGGGTAACTCGTGGCCATCCCAGTATCCTCCCATCTCACCCGCTTTGGTAAGGCCAGCTCTGGTCAAGGAGAGAAGCCCTCCCCTGCAGGACTCAGGCTGGGCCATCCTTGTCCATGGACACGGCACAGGAGCCAGCTGTAAGCCGCCTTCACTCTCCCTATCACAGAGCAGGGCCGCCTTTCTGGTTGGCCCAGCCCTGGCCCCACCCTTGGTCTTAGTCTGGCCAGATGCTAGGTTGCCTGTGTATGCCCACGAAGCCCAGGGTGCAATATGATGGCAGGTTGTATAGTACCTTGGTGACCCGGGCAGCTCATGTTATTGAAATAAATGTGTTTTGTTACTTTCTGACAGTTTAGTTTCTCCACTTCATTTGGCATTTGCTCTGGGGCACGGGGCTGTCTGATCTTGGCATCTCACTGAGTCTCTGAGCCTGTTTCCACTGCTGCCAAATGGCCTGAGAATGCCAGGTGGTTATGGAAATCAGATGAGATGGAGAGCCTGGCTTACCTTCATAGCAGCACACAAGTGTGAGGGGTTACATGAGTAGTGGGGTATGGAGGGAGTGCATCATGTTGGGGGCGGTGCTAAATTGTGAGGGGGGGGGTCACAACTTGGGAGAAATCTAATCTTTGCCTGGGCCAAAGATTAAAACCCAAACCAGTTCAGTGAAGCCCTGTGCCTTGGGCTGTCTCCCACCTATGTGTGTGGTTTGAAGCATGTGTTGGGCACTTGGCAATGAGGATCCAACCTTTAAGCTTCGGGGAGACAACCAGCCATGGGGGTCCTTTAGGAAGGACTGAAAGTCTCCTTAGTGACTTGTTGAATATATGGTGTCCTTGAATGATAAAAAAAAAAAAAGCCAGAACTTTGGGAAGAACAGGGCAGGGTACGCTTAAGGTTTTGAAAACCAGGAATCAGAACACAACTGAGAAAGGGCAGCTTGGCAGGGATGAGGCTGAACCAGCTGTGGTGCCTCTACACCCTGTGGTGAGGTCTCATGAGTGCTGTGCTGGCCTATGGGGGCCAGACTGGTCAGGGATGGGCAGCTTAGCCACATTCATGCTCCAGCCTTTGCTAATGTTCCCCTGCCTATGATGCTCTCCTTCCCCAGGCTGGTCCTTGGTTCCCTCCTCCTCAGGACCTGCCCAAGGCCTTCAGGACACACTGTTTATGGGTCCTCCCAATGTGGGTCACCAGCAGCCAACTCCTATGGCCTGGGAAGGGGCTGCCACTGGCTCTCCATGAAGCCTCACCCCACTGGAGGGATGTAGAAAGCCTGGGGCCTGGACAGTTACCAGGACACCCTGGATAACAGCCCTACCATGCTAAGCTAGGCTTAAGAAGGGAGAGGCTGGGCCTGTGGATACACCCCAGGGCTGCCATCTCTCTTACAATCCTGTTACCCACACTCCCTCAGATGCTATGCACACACCATGTTTGTTACATGCCACTTCATGCTCGGTTGTTAAACATCTGCTTCGGTGACGCCTTTGTTCCAAGTTCACTCAGGACCCACACTCTCTGATGTGTCTTGTTTGCTGAAAGTTAACCTCCATCCAGATGTCACACCCCCAGGTGCATCACAACTAGAAGTCACCCTTTGCCATCACACCATCAGCTCCCATCCATTCAGAGCCTCCTGTATGCTGCCTCTTGTCACATCATACAAATTACCAAAGCTTGGGCTGTTTTAACACTAGCTCATTCGGACCTGTATGTTCCAAGAGAAGATTACAGTAACAGGAACACAATATGGTCTCATATATCCCAAATTCTAAAGAACATCGACACTGTTCCAGCAATTGGTTTATAAATTCTGACCAATTGCTGCCCAGACCCATTTACCTACCTCTGCCAAATAACCACCCCTTGACTAACCCTAGCCCCTCCCCTCCAATACTCTTAAATACAGTAAGTACCTTCCCTAACTCCTATCTGAGGTGAGACTAAAGGTACTACTCTCCCTTGCTAAGCTGAACAGTTTCCCAGGCTTTCATGAGCTTTGACAATCATGGGTGCTCCAAGAAAGTTCAGCAGGAAACCACCAAAGCCAAAGCCCAAGACCACATATTCAGAATGTTCTCCACTAAGGCCCCTAAAGCTTCCCTGCCAAGTCTGAGCTCTAATCCCTTTTTGATGAGATCCCAAATCTGCACAAGGTTTGTCTGCCCTGGGAAAAGAACCCAAGACATAGTTACCTGATAAAATTTGTACTAATTTTCCATGAACATATTATTGTGCAACAAATTACTCTAAAACATAATAGCTTGAAAAATATTATCCCAGTTTCTGATGGTCAGGAATCTGGGAGTGGCCTAACTGGATTATTCTGGTCCAGAGTCTTGATTGCAGTCAAGCTACTGGCTAGGGGAAGGCTTGTCTGGGGAAATATTCACTTCTGAGCTCATTCACATAGATACTGACAGACCTCAGTTTTTTCTTTTGGCTGGAGACTTCAGTTCCTCATCATCTGGGCCTCTCCATAGGATTCCTGAGAGTCTTCACGATATGGCAGCTCTCTTCTCCCAGAACATGTGATCCAAGAGAGTGCATGAGAGTGACCAAAACTTCAGCTGCAGTCCTTTGATAATAATCTTAGAAGTGAGAAACCATCACTTCTGCCACATGTACTGGTCACACAGACCAACCTTGGTACATTACAGGAGGGGACTATACAAGGATGTGACTACCCATAGTTGGAGAATCCAACCTGGGGCTCAACTCAGAGGCGGCCTATTATAGTGATGTCTGCCAAAGCACAGATTTGTCAATAGGTCTCTTTATCTATTGGCTATACTGTTGTGTGTCTGTAAGAGCTTTCCTTAAATAAGGCTCCTACTCACCATCATAGTGGAAGCCAAGATACTCTACACCAATATGCTATATTACAGTTGGAAGCTTAATAAATATTCAATTGTTATAAGTCTGTGAAACACCCAATACTGTCAACACTTAATAAATGAATAGAAAAAGTTAAACAATTTATTTTTTCATACATCTAGTAAGTCATGGGACTGGGCATTCGCAAGTCTATTATTCTTCAAAGTCCAGGATCTTTCCACAATTCCCTGATTCTTGTGACTGGTTCCTGGCTCTAACCCTCCTCTTTCTAGCTTGAGCTCCCATTAACCCCTCACTCACCTCACAATACTCCATACTCCACTTTCATCATACTGTATGGATTGTAAGGTCTCTGGGTTCTTAGTGTTAGTCCTACAGCTAAAATCTCCATATGATACCAGTCTTTTGAAATTTGCTGAGTTGGCAAAATTTCATAAATATTCCATGTGCACTTGCAATGAGTAACTATTTATGTTAAATAGTCTTCTTTAGAAGTTCATTAAACTGAGTTTGTAAATTGTGCTATTCAAAACTGTATCTTTACTGATATTTTTTGTGTTTGATCTAATAAATTAGTGAGGTACATTAAAATCTGTACTATAATGGAGGATGTTAGTATTTTCTTGTAGATCTATATGCATCTGTTATACTATTATATCTATACAAGGTGTATCCTCCAGGTAAAGTGGATCTCGCACCATTCTATAGAGCTCGTCTTTACTCCAGGAGAGAAGAGAGAAAGGTAGAGAAAGAGGTAAAGTAAGGAGGGGCAGGGAGCGGGGAGAAGGGTTTGGGGGAGCCAGTTACAGACAAGTTTGTATCCAAGTCTTCCCTCCTTCTTACTAAGGGAACATAACCAGCCATTCCAATGTCCTATAACCTGCATAGTGGTTACAGATTCTTTGGGTGGATTATTTTCTCCCACCCACACCAGTGAGGAGACCGGCAAATTTCTTTGCTGCACGTGGCCGGCATGGCTCAGTGGTTGAACATCGACCTATGAACCAGGAGGTCACGGTTCGATTTCCAGTCAGGGCACATGCCCGGATTGCGGGCTCAATCCCCAGTATGGGGCATGCAGGAGGCAGCCGATCAATGACTCTCTCATCATTGATGTTTGTCTCTCTCCCTCTCTTCCTCTCTCCAAAATCAATAAAAACGTATTTTAAAAACTTTCTTTGCTGCCTCTTTCTATGAAGCAAAGTGCATTTTAATCACCCTTCCACTGGCGGTAATAGCCCACTGGGGTCCCAGCTTTACACACAGATCTTATTAGAAAGTCGACCTGGGTAGGCTGGGCTCTAGGTTAGTGTCCTATGCCCAATGCAAAGCAGACTAAAGACTTCTATGCTTCCTGGTTTCATTTCATTTGGGGTTCTGGAAACATTTAATTGTGTATGTGCATGTGGCTCAGCAATTCAGGAAGAAAATTTTTAAATTATTTTATCTAGTATTTTAGCTGAATTTATTGAAAGTATCATTCGGAGCCTTCTCCGTATCTTTGAAACCCTAGTCATCCCTCAAGATCAGTTGCAATCTAGCTGTTTTCAGTAAACTCTGTTCAATTATCCCACCCCTACCTCACATCCAATGGAAATAACATCTTCCCCTTTCCCACTACAATGTTCCACATCAGTTATAGCAGTTATCATACCCTGCCTCACTTTTTTGACAGTTATATTTATATTTTACTTTACCCAATAAAAAAGCAACTTAATAATGGGATTCCATGTCAGTTAATCTTTGGGTCCCTATTCCCACTCCACTCTCTGCCTCCAGAGAGGGCAGCAAAATGCCCCCTCTACAGAAGGAGTTCCCAATTGTTTATTGGCTTAGATTTTTTTCTCTTAAAACATATTCTTAGAATTCTGACCATAGAACTACTCAATCCTACGGCAGTGGGTTAATGGCTAGTGCACTGCTCAAGAGAGCAAGTGCTATCTAAAAGAGCCCTGAGTTAGGCTGCTGTGTGCTATGTTCCTTAAGAAAACAAGGTTTTCCAAGGACTGGGATAGGCCTCCCACTGCAAGGGCCTTTTAGATGCTGACAGGCGTATAAATTCAAATGGAATTTCCTAATATCACCTGTTCATTTGACTATAATTAAATAGATTGCAGACTGAGTCATTTTAAAGTTAAATACAGTACAGAAAACTTTTTAATATTACTCTTAATAACATGAAAAAGAATTACAAGCATCTCTCTCTGACATGAGATAGTCTGCTCAGTCTAGAGACACTAAGGGGAAAATGGCTCCCACGTGGTTACCATCAGGAAACCAGGAGAGAGTGAAGCGTGAGGTATGTTCCCAGCAGTGGGTAAAAATGTACTCAAAGGAGAAAACAGCTTACTAAACTCTATTTAGTGTGTGCAACTTTCTACTAATGTGCCCCAGTCCTCTGCAGCCAGCTACTTGAGGGCATTTCCACAGGCACTACTCACCAATGACCACATGTGAATTCCACGCCACTGGAAGATCACCATTTTATAGTTTCATAACTGAGAAAATATTTTCATAGAAACAACAAAAGCAAGGAGATAAAAACCCTTGCAACCAGAAAAATTGATTTAGATTAGTTATGTGATTAAAAGCTCAGCTCTGACTTGAAAGAGCATCGGTCTTAGCTCACTTCACATGGAGGTTCCGAGCTAAGACGTCAAGGAAGCAGTGTAACCGCCTCTACCAGTCAGCTGAGACTGCTGAGCAGACACCCGCTGCTGCCCGTCTCCTTGTCTATGTTCTCATCTGCGTGCTGTGAAGAAAGCCCTGCACTGGGCCCCACGCACTTCATCTGAGAGCGTTATCTTTGAAAGAAATGGGAGTAGACAAGGGAGACTAGATAGCAGCGGGTCTAGCCTCAGCAGCCTTTCTGGGAGAAGTCAAGTCCCGATGACTTTGTTATTTCCAAAGTGGTGAATACCTGTTCGAAAGGAAGAAAATAAATTTGTGTTTAGCCAAAAATATTTCAGTACTGCTTTAAGAAAACACATTCTGAACATTACATCTATTCTCCTTTAAAATATGCACAGTAGTTACTAATAGAAAAACTTTGACAATGTGCTTCAATAACAGTTTTTCAAACTAAACCCACTGAAGTCAACTTAAAAAAACTCCCGTTTCTGTACCTCACCACATGTAGGGTGAATTCCAATGGTGCCATCAAGTAGCTGCTTCGTGAGCCCACATTTCATTGCAGCTGCAAATCCTTGAGTAACCTCACCGGCATTCGGCCCAAGAATGTGAAATCCTATCACCCGGTTCTTTAATAGAGAAACAAAACAAAGGGAAGCCCAGTAGGTTAATGATCTAAATAGGAATCTAATCATTGCAAGTTCACAGTTCAAACTGACAGCATCTACTACAAGAACCAATGTTGAACTCAGCATAGAACATTACCATGAAACTGAGCCACTGTACGAATCTGTTAAATGAGCCAATAAATGCACATCCAGAGTAATCTGCACTCAGATTTACTAGAAACAAGCAACTTACCCACTACATGAAGCTCATTAGTTTGTATGGTAGAAATGTTTGAACTATGTTGAGATAGTGCTAAACAACATACAAATCTGAATTAAAGTCCAACACTGGAATAATTCTAAGGCAGTAGGTCTCACTGGCACTGCAGTGATTCCTGGTCCAGGAAGCAAGTAGCCTGGCTCCCAACATAACTAAGGGAAGATCAAGGAGTAGCTGGTGGGCAGGGCATTTCCCCAGGATTACATGTTGGTAGGTGCAAGGCACATGTGATGAGCAGACCACTGAGATAGAAAGCAAGATTCACAGTATAGCCCCAGCCGGTGTGGCTCAGTTGGTTGGAAACTGTCCTATGCACTGAAAGGTTGCCAGTTCAATTCTCAGTTAGGGCACATGCCCAGGTTGCAGGCTCAATCCCCAGAAGGGGGCATGAAGGAGGCAGCCGATCCATGTTTCACTCTCACATTGATGTTTCTCTCTCTCTCTAAAAAAATCAATAAAAATATATTTTTTAAAAAGATTCAGTGTCTTTCCAAGGTACACTGCATTTAGGCTGTCCTTTTGTCTGTGTTTTCTCATCAGACTCTATTATTGTTTTGATCTTCAATAGTAAAAGTGTACAACAGATAGAGAGAAGGGGCATCAGAGATCTTGAAGCTGGCGGAAGTTTTTGCCTCCTCACATTCTAGAGAAAGAACAATGGTTCAAAGCAGCTAACTCATCCACATCAACTGGTGGGTGCTGAAATGGAGAGCTCCGGGAGCAGTGTTTCTCCAAGGACAGTCACTGGCCACAGGGGCTCTGGGTGAAACGTGGAGTTCCCAGGGCCCCACAAAAGGAGACTGAAATGGAATCTCTGAGGCGGTGCATTGTACATACAGCAAACTGGGAAAAGGCAGGCAACCCAGACAGAGTAAAAACATCTGATGAAAACTCCCATTTAAAAATGAAAATGAAGGCAGGCTCTGTGAGAGGGAAAACCTAATGCACAATTTTTACCACATAGCCACAGTAAAATACATAGTAGGATGGTCCACTAGAAACAGAAATTTGGACAGGAGTAAAAGAAATTAATAAGCTCTACTGATGACAGTGAGCACATGTGTGGGGGGCAAATGGGGATCCTGCTCACATTAGGGGCCTCCGTGCAGTCTCTGCCTGCTCCTTTTGGAAAGGCACTCACTACTTCATGACAGTAACCTCAGATTACTGTCAACTTTACATGTTAGCTGTTGCTGTTCATATGTACCTAATTTTATGTTTTATCTCCCCAGATAAGTTATGAACTCTTTAAAAGGGAGGCACCCAAGTGCTAACACTGCCTTCTTCTACCCTCAGTGTTCTTTATAAAACCAGTCCTAAATAAACTGTGCTTTAAACTCCAATAATCAGGGCATCTGTTATCAGTTTCATGCTCACCTCAATAACAGGGAAGGCAAAAGCCTCCAACAGTGGACTGTCCCCTCCACTGATTCTTCTTTAATGAATGGCTTCATTAGGCATTAGTTCATTAATTACAGTTTTCACTTTGTGTAAGCATCTCCTTGAAAAAGGTTTGTGATACACATTCACTTGACAAAACGCACACAGACATACACCTTACATTTTATTAGTTGATGATCAAAATTTTCAGATGATCTAGCTCTAAACTGCCGAGTTAGGTCTGGGAAGAGACAACTTTCAATGATTATTTTGAGAAGGTACTGGTAACCCTCAATTACAATCTATCATTTGTTCAACCCCTGCAAAAGCATTACCTGGGTAATAATTTGAAGGATTTATGCCTTTCCTTGAAAACTACCTTTAAAGAGACTGTAAAAACCCAAATACTAGAATAAAAGCTACATTTTAAAATTACAGCATTTCAGCTTCCCATCATATTACGTACATTGTCCAATTTATTGCAAATTATCTTTGCATAACAAGTATTGTTGTCTCTGCCGGCTACTGTCCACTCAAGAGGCCAGAACAAAGTATGATATACCTGGAAGACAAGGAGAGAGAGAAAGAGGCCGAGATTAGTATATATGAAAATCACTCCTTGGTATACTCTTTAATTATATAAACACGATAATCTCTATAACAGCTTTCAGAAATTTAAAGTTCCACAATCCCAACTTTATGTAACCAGAGCTCCTAAAATACCACCTGAACAAGTGTGCTGACCTTTGTTTTGCTCTATTGTTATGCCAAAAAAAAAAAAATCTATTAACTAAATTCAGTTTTCAAACATTTATAGAGTATTGCCATCCAAGGCAATGAACTAGGCTGTGTGTGAATTGAAAAGATAAATACTTAGATCCCGCTGTGACAAGTTCATAACTTGCCTACAAGGTTCATTTTCAATCCAGATCTAGGAAAAGCAGAAGAGATAAAACAGTTCAACCCCATTAAAAGATACTAAGAACATTACCTATGCTACTTTAAAGCCTTCACCCCAGCACCCCAAATATACCACTCAGGCTCCTCAATCTGGCACAATCATCTAAGACCCAGAGCAAAACACAATGTGACCTCCATCCTGCTCACAGCAGCTACATTTTCCCAATGTTGTTCCTCCTCATCTCTCCATACAGAAGGCAACAGATTAATGTTTGGTGCCAGGATAAAGAAACGAATTCTAAACTACAGATGGTCCCCGAGTTAAAATGGTTCAACTTACGATTTTCTGACTTTATGATGGTGCGAAAGTGATATGCTTTTAGTAGAAACGGTACTTCAGAATTTGAATTTTGATCTTTCCCTAGGCTAGCTACAAGTGGTAAGACACAATCTTGTGATGCTAGGAAGCCGCAGCGAGATTATTTTGCTCAACTGTACAGGCACACTCGTTTTGCTGTGCTTCGCTTCATTGTGCTTCACACATATTGCATTATTTTACTTAAGGTTTGTGGCAACCCTGGGAAGAGCAAGTCTATCAGTGCCATTTTTCCAACAGCATTTACTCCTTGGTCTCTGTGTTACATTTTGGAAATTCTTGAAATATTTAGAACTTTTTCATTATTATTATGTTTTTTATGGTGATGTGGATGTGTGAACAGTGATCTTTGATGTTACTATTGTAATTGTTTTGGAGCGCCATGAACCACACCCATATAAGATGGCAAACTTAATTGATAAATGTGTGTGTTCTCACTGCTCCACTAAGTCGGTGTTCCCCCATCTCTCCCTCTCCTTGGGCCTCCCTATTCCCTAAGATACAAATACTATTGCACACTTAATAGACTACAGTATAAACATAACTTTTATATGCACTGAGAAACCAAAAAAATTCATGTGACTCACTTTGTTGCAACACTCTCTTTCTTGCAGTGTTCTGGAACTAAACCCTCAATATCTCTGAGGTCTGCCTGTACTCTAAAACTTTGTATTAAGTCAGGACAACAGAGAGCACAGCCCTATTTTGGCCCCTTTAGGAATTGCTTTTTTATTATACTGTGCTGTGGCATTGTGTCATGGGACTGCAGTTCTGGATCTAATAAACACTCCTGTAAAATCCATTACTGTATTTACTAATGATGTATTTTAAAGGTATTATTCACCATACCTCAATGCCCCTTTTATAAGAACATTAAGAAATATCTCTCAATTCTCCCTCTTCTAGACAGGTAGTAGGAAGCTTAGGGGTTAAATTCAATTTTCGGCATAATCCTAAAGCAGGACTGTAAGACTTTATAGCATTGATTTTGTGAACCAACAAATTAATTTTTTTTCTAACATCATCTTATTTTTTCTACATTCTCTTTTTACCTTGATTTCCTCACTTAAAAAATATCGTACATGTATTTTTGAGAGACTTCCTCCAATTTCTTTTTAACAGGAATTAAAAAAAATACTAATACATCAAATTTTCAGTTCTGTCAAGTGAAATAAATAAATATATAAAGCACGTGAGTTGAGCTGCAATGAACCTTAGGATGAAGACCTTAAAGAAATCCCACAAACTTGGGAAACTTTTTACCTATAAAGGTATTTTTTTAACTAGGATATGGCCTTCTACATTCTTCCTGCATGTCTATCCTAATTCTCATTAATATAAAAAAGTCTTACAACAAAGTGTTAAATCCATAATTGTTACCATCAATTTTCCAACACCCAAGTGAACATTCACCATTGCAGAAAGGTTGGCTCGCCCGGCCAGGAGTGGCTCAGCAGCTGAGCGTCGACCTAGGATCCAGGCAACCAGGGTTCGATTCCCAGTCAGGGCACATGCCCGGGTTGCGGGCTCGATCCCCAGTAGGGGGCGTGCAGGAGGCAGCCGATCAATGACTCTCTCATCATTGATGTTTCTCTCTCTCTCTCCCCCTCTCCTTTCCTCTCTCTGAAATCAATAAAGATATGCTTAAAAAAAAAAAGATATATTTAAAAAAAAAAAAGGATGACTCATTATCACAAGATCATCATAAACACTGACCAATGTCCTTTATAATGTAAATGTCTCACTGAAAGCAACCACCTAAAATAACATTATAAAGTTTTAATCATACATTTCCCAACACCAGAAGTGTAAGTAAGAGTTTCAGAAAGTCATTAGGCCATTTAACTAGGAAATATCAGTGCTATGGTTTAAAGAAATTCCCAGTAAGAAATTGTCTTTGAGGGAGAGAACTGAAATTTCACCTCTATTGCTTAAAACCTCAAGTAGTAATAATCCTCTAACTCTTTTTTTCTCTCCCTATCCCTACTATGTTGGGAGGGTGTGCAGAAAAAAGACACTCAAGCCACCCACCAAAATGTAAGAGAATATTTATAAGGTGGTTGTATTTAAAAGGGACAGTGGTGAAGGGGAGGTGGGAACAAAATGTGTGGACACCTCTGTCAGAGTCTGAATGGCCCACAGCCCACAAAAACCTTGGGACCTGCCCATCTTCCCCACCTAGAGTCCATCGACAGTGAAGGTTCCCAGAGCCATGTTGACATTCCATGAGTCTTGCTACCATCATACCAAATGGAAGTGGTTAGATGGTTGACCCAACTCAGACCAGTTCAGAACTAAGACTAAGAAACAGTAAGTCAATCAGTTCCTCTTAAGACCAGAAATATCAGATAAACTTGGGGAGCAAAAGAAAGGCCATATTTTGGCTGCTATGTGCATTCCAGGAGCAAATAAGGTCTATTTGCAGGAACAGAGGAATGAACTGCATGTGCACACACAAACCCCAAGCAAGTAAAAGAAAAAAGTGAGACAGTCTTCCAATTCCTGGTTCTTAGCCCGTCCTAAGGCCTTGAGACCTTCCTGAATTCCCAAAAGATCTCATAATAACTTGTGCTTCCTTATGTAAGCTTAATCAAGTAGATATTTGTTACTTGTAATTCAAAAGTCCTAGTGCATACCTTATACATCTCTCTTCCCCCAACTATATTATTATTAGTTTGCAAGAGAGACAGGGTTCAAATTATTTAATCTAATTTTCCTAAAACAGGATGATTTCCTATAATATAACCATTATAACAACTTGCAAAATGACAATATAAAAAAATGACTGAGAAGACAGCTGATTCTAAAGATTCTTAAAAAGTAAACAAAACACAATCTTACTTCTAAATTCTCTTTTTTATATATTTCAATAGCTTTCTCTTCAGATAATCCACAGCAGCCATATTCCAGGGGAGTAAACACTGTAGTTGGAACATTAACATAATCACACTGAAAGATAAACAAAGTACATGTTATTTTGTGACACATTTTTTTACAGCAAAAATCTCTATCGCATACATTTATAAAAGGGAACTAAGTAAGTCCAGTTCAGTGTAACTGATTCTGACACATCATCACTTCAGGGAATTCTAAGTTACACTAAAGGGGATGGATGGGGCGAGCCCGACTACAGGGCAGAGGCCACACGCTGGCCAGTGACTGACGACCAGGACTAGCTCTCCCAGTGCCCTATCCTCAGACTTCTGGTCTGCAAACCACTCAGTACAGGAGGAGGTGCTGCACTTTGTGGCCCCTACAGACACTTTCTAAAATTTTCTCCTTCCATTCCCATGTGGACCCTACTTTTCTGAAGCACCTCTACCAGATGACAGAGGATTACACTATTCCACCTGAAGCTTAGACCACCCTTGGCCTTTTCATTTAATGCTGTCCTGAGATGGTGAGCAAAGCAGCAGCTCAATAGTATAGGGCTGAGTGACTGCCCTGGACAGTCAAGGGGACAGTCAAGTACACATATGTACTTGGGGACCAGGACTGCATGAGTCCCATGGTTACCAAGGAACCCCTCAGAGCCCTTATCTGACTGAAATACAGCACAGGAAGACTGCAGACTCTGGACCCTACATAAAATCTTCCAGCAGCTCCATGCATCTGCCCATGGGAAAGCGAGCGCCAGGGCAAGTGGCATCCCTGCCTAGAGAAGACAGTGTGTTTGTGACGATGTGAAGAAGAGTTGGAACATGTTGGCACAAGCATCATCACAGTGTGTGTGTGTGAGAAAACAGTGTACAGGGTCAGAGAAAGAATGGAGGGTATAACCAGGGATGAACATCTCTGTGTCTGCCCATCCATAGCCCTCAAGGGGGTGACACTGCCCAGAGCACAACATGTCCCCAAACCCCAGAGAACAAGTTACAGCTTATTGGGTCAGGGGTGACATCTAACCCAAAGAAAGGTAATCTATAAGCTGGCCAGTTACCTATGCAAAAAAAGGTTGGCTTCATCAATTGTTTCTTTTCTAGGAAAATGAACCAGGAGCAAGAGAGGATACTCCAGGTGGCGTGTGACAGGAAAAAACAGAGTTGTGGCCAAGTTAGGCTAATGGAAGGGCATCCTGTGAAGCCCCCATCCAGGTACAGGGCCCCAGAGCAGCTGTGACACCCATGCCCGGCCCTGCTCCATCTGCAGTGAGGCCCAGCACTAGCACGGTCCTTGTTCTAAGTCACTGCAATGTGACTTACTCATCTGTTTCATCCTTATGGAAACTCCTTCAGTCTGCCTAGTTTGAGTGACTTTCTATTTTACCCAAAAAGAAAAACACATCAAAACATCATAGGTACACTTCCATCAATGAGGGATTTGTGTACCATACGCATCAGCCTAGAGTCTTTAACTTAAATTACGCTCTCATTCCATTTTACATTTGCTAATGGCAAATCATGAAGCATTTGTGTTCTTTTTTCCAACATGGATAGAGAAAATCACATAACCACGTGGACTGCCTGGTTTTCTGGCTCTTCTTAGGCCATCAAATGCCCATTAGTCCATTAATTGACCAGCAGCTGGTCCCATGGCTTATAGTGGAAGCCTCATCCTCAACAGATGCCTCTGTCTCCTGTTTTGTATCAATGAAGAAAAATCAACAGGTAATTCCTCAACTTTCCTCCCTTTCATCTAAAACACTCTTTCCACATCTTATACTATCTCCTCCACTTGAACTTGACTTCATCTTGCCCTACCTGTAGCCTTCCTTTCAGTCCTGTACCTTTACCCTCTCTTTTTACACACACACACTGGTGTGTCTTCTAATCTCTCTACCTGACAGCCACCACGACTGACTTCTTAAAGCATTAGGCAACTATTCTGCTTCCACACATCTTGAAATGCTGTTGCACTTTGGATGGGATGATTCTTCTTTGTACATTTAGCATTCCTGGCCCCACCCATTAACGTCAGCAGTGCCATGTCCCCACACGTGTACAAGGTCTTCATTCACAACCTTACAAGGCACCTGCATCCCTTATGAAGAATATGGGATGCCCCAAAACTTTTCACCTTAACCTAATCATGCAAAAACAATCAGAGAAATTCAGAATGTGAGACATTCTACAAGACACATTCTATAAGAAAAGTAGCCTGGATTCATCAAAAGTCAGTCATAAAAAGTAAAACAAGCAAACAAACAGCTGAATCAAGGCAGAGGGCCATAGTAGGTTAAAAGACTTAGGACTACAGAAGAGCATGTACTGTGTGAATCAAAACACATGTATATGTACTAATGAACAACTGAGGAAATGTGAATTATTACTGCATTGTTGTTGAATTCTCAGCTACAGTAATGGAATTGTGGTTATGTGGATGAATATCCTTGTTCTTAGGAGATACGTGTTGAAGTATTCAGGAGGAAAACATCATTGATATCTGCCACTTATTTCAAATAGCTCAGCATATAAAAATTTGCATGCATTGTATACACACACATACACACATCTTCAGAAAAGGAGAGAACAAAAATGGCAAAGTGTTAATAACTGGGAAATCTGAGTGAAAGGATAATATGGGTGATTGCTACTGTTCTTTCTGTGGTTTGACATCTTTCTAAATGAAACGCTGGGGAAAATAAAGATCTTCAACAGCTCCCACTGCCTAGAGAAGGCCCTACTGATTCTTTACTGCCACATCACAGATTTCTGATGACCTGGTACCAAATCAATTTTCCAGCCTCATTTCCAGTTGTACTCCTCTATCACCAATCGCTCTGCCTGCATCCACCTCGAAATGTTGTAAGAATTGTGGCTAAGACAATTCTTTGTGTGTAACAGAATGGTTAGCATTCCTGACGCCCACCTGGGAAAACCACCTCCTCAGTCACTCGTCATCCACCAACACCTCCGCACGCCCACAGTGCTCCTGATGTAGCAGAGTATGGCCTACCCCAGCTGGGGACTCCTGAGACTGCTCACAGTCCTTGAAAAAGCCAAGCACTGCCGAGCTCTGGGCTTTTCTTTGAATTATCTACTTATCAAAAGAGCCCTTTGCTTCCTCAATTTTAGATTGCTCATCCTACAAAGCCCATCCCAGATCTTTAATCAAAGACTATGAAAGGTGGAGGAGACTGTAGAAATCACCTGATTCACACCATCAGCTTTGCAGATGGTGAAACTGAGGTGAAGAGAAGTGAAATGGCTTGTCCAGGTTAACACACTAAGCAGGCACTGAAGCCAGGGCCAGCATCCTGATCCACTCTGAGTGTCCCTCCTACTCTGAGACAGTGCCACTGTCCACCTGGGAGGCCTCTACTGATCTCTTCAGTAAGAATTAATTGCTTCTCCTCTTATTCATGACCTCCATCAACCTAGTAAGCCCCTTGGCACTGGAACCGTGCCAATCCTTTGTATATTACCCAGCACAACACCTTACACATACAGATATTAAAAAAATATTTTTGAAAACCATTAGTAAATAATAAATCAACTGCAAATGATTTATTTGGGAAGAACCCTTTACTTGCAAAACAAGCACACACACTTTATTTGTATTGATTTTCTTAAAGTCATAATTTTTATTTACATATTACCTCAAAAACAACAGTAAGGCCCGGCCGGACATGGCTCAGTGACTGAGCACTGACCTAGGATCCAGGAGATCTCCGTTCTATTCCTGGTCAGGGCACACGCCCAGGTTGTGGGCTCGATCCCCAGTCTGGGGCGTGCAGGAGGCAGCCAATCAATGATGATTCTCTCATCATTGATGTTTCAACTCTCTCTCTCCCTCTCCCTTCTATAATCAATAAAGATTATATTAAAAACAAAAAACAAAACAGTAAAAAACTTACCTTTTCTAAACGACCCCCAAAAAGTCTTCGAGCCAACAGCTTGCCTGCCTGTATGGCGACAGGAGTGAGCTCAAGTTTACCTTCCAGAACATCCCCAACAGCGTAAACATAGGGCACATTGGTCTGTTCCATGTCATTTACTGGTATCTTGCCAGTCCTATTAGATTTTGAAAGGAAAAAATATATATTATGACTAACTCTGTACTGCCGGATGACTAACACTATTCTAACAGAACTAAGTGCATAGAGAAAAGACCTCCCTCTAAGAACTCATGCACCTGACATCATTACCTGCCTATAAGACCAATAGCTTACAATAACAAAGGTATCTGTAGCTCCAAAAGAAAACACCTTGCTAGTTGATGAAACCATGCTTGTTTTTTGGATATTGAGGATATTCCCAAATTTCCCCCAAGAACTGCACTTAGAGCTTTGATATTTTTCTCCTTGCCCGACCAAGGACATAAAATTCACTCTAAATCAGATAGTAGGTGAATACATTTCCACCTTTTTTTTTTTTTTTTAAATCATGCATGAGCTCTTTAAGGCACACAATAGTTACTAATTGATTAATGAAAAAATTGATAACACAGAGCTGGGACAGTACTTCCTATAATATAAATTTAAAGCATTAAAATTTTGCACCTTAGTAATTAAATGAGAATTTTAAGAGGTGATCTGTAGAAACATTTTGCTTTGTGCATCAACAGAAATGATCCCACATATACATACTTCTCATTGATTTTGACACCAATCTTCTCCAAGCCTATTTTCCTTGTAGAGGAATCACGACCAATTGCTAACAAAACCTATATTTAGAGAGAGATCAAAAACACAAATTATCAATATCAGGAATGAGTGGGAACATCACTATAGATCTTTCAGACATTAAAATACTAAAACCTATTGTGAATGCCCTATGCCAATAAATTTGACAGCTTAGATAAAATAGAGTCCTTTTTTTTTTGAGGTCAAAATGCATTTTTAATTGAGGTATAATTGATATATAACATACTAGCTTCAGATATATAACAAAATCATTAGATATTTGTATATATTGTGCAATGATCACCACAGTAAGTCTAGTTAACATCCATCACCACACAGTTCCAAATTTTATGTTTTGATGAGAATTTGTAAGATCTACTCTCTTAGTAACTTTCAAACATACAGTATAGTACATGCCCAAAATAGACTTCTTGGAAGACACAATTTACCAAACGTACACACAAATCTGAATAACCCTTTGTTATGTGCTGAATTATGCCCCCCAATTCATGTGTTGAAGTCCTAATCCCCAATACCTCAAAATGTGACTGATTAGGAGACAGGACCTTTAAAGAGGTAATTAAGGAAAAATGAGGCCATTAGGGTAGGCCCTAATCCAATATGACTAGTGTTCTTATTAGCACACACAGCACAGACTGAGGAGCAATTACGTGAAGACACAGAGAGAAGGCAACCAACCACCTGCAAACCAAGGAGAGAAGACTAGAAGAAACCACTCTACCAACACTTTGGTCTCAGACTTCCAGCCTCCAGAACTGTAAGAAACTAAATTTCCTTTGCCTAAACCACCCTATCTGTAGTATTTTGTTATGGCAGCCCTAGTTGACTAATACATCCTATACTCATTAAGGAAACTGAATTCACAATTTGTAAACTTCCCATTAATTAACTCCAGATCCAGATGACTTCACTTGTAAAGTCTAATGAACACATAAGTAAAAAATAAAACTGGTGGTACACAAACTCTTCCAGAAAAAAGAGAAGGGAGCCTTCCCAACTCCTGTTTATAAGGCCAGCATAAATATCTGGTACCAAAATCAAACAAGAATATTTAAATAAAATTATAAGTCAATATCCTCATGAACACAAATGCAAAATTCAAATATAACAATATATAAAAAAGATAACTGATCATGACCAAATTTGGGACCAGTTTGTCCCCAAAATAAAAATTTGGTTTAACATGCAAAAAACAATCAATGTAATTCACCATTTTAACAGAATAAAGAAGAAAACAACTTAATCATCCCAATAGATATGGAAAAAGCATTTTTTTTTTTTTAATATTTTTTATTGATCTCAGACAGAGGAAGGGAAAGGGAGAGAGAGAAAAACATCAATGATGAGAGAGAATCATTGATCAGCTGCCTCCTGCACACTCCCTGGAATCGAGCCCACAACCCAGGCATGTGCCCTGACCAGGAATCAAACTGTGACCTCCTGGTTCATGGGTTGACGCTCAACCACTGAGCCACACTGATCAGGCAGAAAACATTCTTAAATAATGAAACACAGAAAACTTTCCTTTGATATTGAGAACAAGACAAGAATGGCCACCATAGCCATTTCTGGTTAACAATGTACTGGAGGTCCTAGCTAGTGTACTTATGCATGAAAAAGAAGTAACGAGGAAGAGAGTGGAAAAGAGGAAACAAAACTGTTATTTACAAATATGAATATGTACAAAGAAAATTCAAAAGAATCTAAGAATAAATTATCAAGTAAGACCTTTTATTTTCTAATATATTTTTTATTTTGTTGACTCTCTACATTTCTTTTTTTAACTAAAAAAAGTATATAAAAGTATATAAAACATAAATGTATAGTTTGTGTTAAAACTACAAACTACAGTTTACAAAAGAAATGTTGGCATCCAAACATCAGCAATTTGAATTAGAATTGTTGCCATCCAAAGCAGTCCATGGACTATTCACATTTTTTGGATGTTTCATACTGTTTGTTTTTTAAAAATAAAAATATATTTATTATTTTTATTATAAAAGATTCAATGTTTATTGCAAAACTATTCAAATGCAGAAATGTATAAGGTATCTAATGCCCCTGAACTAAATACTAATAACAGTCAGATATATCCGCTTCCAGATTTTATTCTATGCATAGTTACACATATACATGTATTTTAGCATGGTATTCTTCATATACCATTATCAAATGTCAACAGACCACCCTAGCCAGCTTGGCTCAGTGGTCAGAGGATTGGCTCAAGGACTGAAGGATCTTGAGTTTGATTCTAGTCAAGGGCATGTACCTTGGTTGCAGGCTCGATCCCCGGCCTTGGTCAGGGCATGCACGGGAGGAAACCAATCGATATGTCTCTCACATAGATGTTCCTCTCTCTCACTCTCTCCCTTCCATATTCTCTCTGAAAATAAAAAAAATATCCTCGAGGATTAAAAAAAAAAAATGTCAACAGGCCAACTACCTACCTTCCATATTTACTATACTCTTACAAAGAATCCAAAAAAGTTAAGCCTGGTATAATTTTCCCATAAGCTTCTTCTGTGCTAATTTATGAGTGTGTTCAACCACTTACTGCTTATAAAATAAAAACTTACTGTGTTATACACTCCTTCAATAGTTTCTGGTCCTTCCGTGGATTTAGCCACTACTTTCAGCTTTCCAGGTAAACCTTTCTCCAACTGTTGAATCTAGTGAGGATAAACAATGTAATGATTCGATCTAAAGGGGACAGAAAATAAATGGGTCCTAGGGTGTACACATCTGTGTAGGTGTTTACATGTGTGTATATGTGTGCCACAAGATACAATTTGGAGGTAGAACTAAGTTAATGTATTAGTTGGAGGTAGCATAAAAGGAAGAATGAAGGGATGCTTACTAAGGTGTTGGCTTACATTGTGTGGACTGTAGTATCATTTAATGATAGGCCAGAAAGATTAGCAAGGGAATACATTTAGGTAGAAAATCAAGAGTTTAATTTTTGTCATTAAATTTGAAATGCATTGAGGAATTCAAGTGGAGATATTCAGTAGGCAGTTGCACAAATGAGTATGGAGTTCAGGACAGATGCCTGAGCAGGATATATAAATCTGAGAGCCACCAGCATTAAGTTAAAGTGTGGGTCTAAAGAAGACTGCCCAGGTAAAGAGGGCAGAGAAATGAAGAGGGACCAGGTGTTCTGATATTTACAAGTTGAGTACATGTGGAACCACAGGACCACATGTGGGGCCGGAGGAGAGAAAGGAGTATGCTTCAAATGGAAAGAATGTCAACTTCACCGAATGCTGCCAGGGGCCCAGTAAGATAAGGGCAGAGATGTAACCACTGGCTTTGACAACAGAGATACAGAACGTGACAAGCAGTTTCAAAGGGGTGGCAGAAAGGGAAGCAGCTGAGTCTGAGGCAGTGGGAAATAAGGTAAGAAATGAGAAGTAGCGTGAACAGAAGTTTTCTTGTAAAGGGAAAAAGAAAAATGGGGACCCAGCCAGAAAGGCAGAGAGGAAAGGGAGAGCTCATCTGTTAAAAGATGAGAGACACTGAGAGGCCTGTAGAGGAAAAAAAGAAGACAATCAGCTGAAGATGGGATGTCCCTGAAAAGCTGAGAGGTGAGGGAAACAGTGAGAGAAGAGGAAATCCAAGCTGAGAGGAGCAAGGGCACCTCCATTATCAGAGGAGGAGAAGACAGGGACAAATGGGGGCTAGTTTTGTGAATTCCAGGTGGGAACACTATCTTCAAGGTTTCCTATTGAGTGCAGGCCAATTTATTTAATAAAATGAAGGAGGGGTAAAATAAAAAGTTGAAGAGAGAAAAAAGAAAATAAAAGGAATTCCAAATGTCATTCAGACTCACCATCACAGGTATAAATTTTCTTAAGAACTTAACACCATGTTGTTCCATATAGGAACCCACTTTCTCTGCCATTTCTTGATCAAAGCCACGAAGAAGGATTGACCGCACCATAACTGTGACATCTAAGCCAATACCAGCAAGAAATCCTGCACATTCCAGAGCCACATAGGATGCCCCGACTACTAATGTTTTGCCAGGGCAGTAAGGCAGAGAAAAAAGGTCATCACTGAAAAATAAAAATAAGAAAAAGAATACTAGGCAATAAAAATGAAATGGGTTACTTAGGTTTCAATGGTCTTTTGTGGGCTGAATTGCAATTTGGGGCTTGAATGAAGAAACACTAGAAGAAACAGCCTTTAGGAGTTTGTAATAGTTTCTCCTATGGAGAAAGAAGTAGCCCTCATTTTTTCAAAATCAAATTAGTGGATCACAAGCAAAGTTTTTTAAAAAACAGAAGAGAAAACATTAGACTACATTATATGTGATAAGAAAAATATTATTTTGTTTGTTTTGGATACGTGTGTGTGTTCACCTGAGTAACAGCACAACAAAAAATTTATTTCTTAATGTGCATCTGGTCAAAAAAGCTGGAGCCCGGCCAGGCGTGGCTCTGCGGTTGAGCGTCAACCTAGGATCCAGGCGATAGGGGTTCAATTCCCGGTTAGGGCACACGCCTGGGTTGCGGGCTTGATCAATGACTCTCTCATCATTGATGTTTCTATGTCTCTCTCTCCCTCTCCTTTCCTCTCTCTGAAATCAATAAAGATATATTTAAAAAAAAAAAAAAAAAAAGCTGGAAAATCACTGAACTACATTATACACTGACCTCTGTATAACCATCCAGGGGAGATCGCTATTAAACCTTAGTATTAGGAATAGCCACAATTCTCCTGATCAGCTGACTTGTTATTATATTAGGCACTAAGACCTAAAGCTAATTGTATTGGCTTCTTCTCTTTGGCCTTTCGGAAGTTGAGGCAAATTCCCAGAGCAATAACCTAGAAACATACAGCATATTTTTGTGAGTAAATTTGACTGTATTATTTACCTAACCTTATTTTCTCTTTGCTCCACTGTTAACTATGTAGCTTCTTCCATTGTATATATGTGCCTTTATTCATCAATTCAAATCTTTGTGAAATAGGCAGGGAATAAACTGGAAACACAAACACAATACAATTCAGTTAAGTGGCCTATTTAAACTTACCTAGTAATACAGTGTTCTTTATCGCCTTGGATTCCTAAATACCGTGGCCTTTCACCTGTTGCTATGACAAATTTTTCAGCAGTATAATAAGTCTCCTGTCCTTTTCTATTGGTTGCCTTGAAAAAAGAAAAGTAAACTTCACTTTTCAATCAACACTACAAAGTACCAGACACTATGGACAACCTAGTTACCACCCTCTATGGAGCTTCCCATCAACAGAAATAGCAAAAATAATTCAGTGTGATAAGCACCACCACAGAAAATAGAAGTCTTTACAAAATATTAACCAAAATACCAGAAGGGAGTGGAGTAGGGGACTGGAAAGCTAGGCAAGAATGGCTTCACAGGTGGTAACATTTTAAGTGGAGATGAGAAAAGTGAAAAAATTTTAGAAAAATGGAAACCTAAAGGGAGAACAGTACATAAAAATGCACAGGCCTGAAAGCAGCTGGAGTCTGGGGAACAGCAAGTGGCAAGAAGTGACAGGAGAGGTTATGTGTCAGAGGAAAAGTTGGCTATGGAGTATTAACAAAGGTTGTTCATTGCTTATTTTCAATTATACTAGTAAATCATAAATAAATTCACATTTTAAAAATTCAAAAAGCTATGAAAGCCTTTAATAAGGGGGTGGTTTCCGTGGGATACAGAGAGGGCAGCCTGGAGACAGGGCTCTGCAGCAGACAAACAAGCGCAAGCTGTGAGGGTGAAGTGGGAGGAACCTGAAGTTTCGTGCTGGAGTAACTGGAAAGACACTGGTATCACTAAATAAGGAAGCATAGGAGAGGTAGGTCTGGCTGGGAATGCTCGGCTTATTCAACCAACCAGACCACCCATGATGGTTTGAGAACTAAAACTGACTGGCTTGTATTCCATGTGAATGATGCAATTCAAATCAGCCCATGTACAGCTCTAAAGGGGTAGCTGTAAAAAGACCACCTCACACCTTTCTAGAAACAAGAAATGACTACAAAATACCCTCCAATCCTGTCAGATCATTGCACACTGTGCTACAAAAGCAGAGTACAAAAACAAATGAGGTGTTGAGGATGATATTTGATTATTGAAAGTTTTGTGTTCATCAAAATGGTCTCATTTTCCTTACACACTGACCTTATAATACAGAAACGTTACAAAAATAAATGTATAAAATACACTAATTCTTATGCTATTTTTATTAATACTTTTATGAATAATATATACTAACATTCTAATTAAGGTTTCATTTTTAAAAATAACTAACACTACTAAAATTTTGATTTTTTTACTGTTTAAACATTTTCTCTTGCAAGATGGCAATGAAATCAAAAGGCAAATAACTTTAAGAGTTCTTTAAAAGGCAATTTCTAATTCATCCAGGCATGTGAAATGCACTAACAATGGAGGAAATACAGGTGCACACACAACCTAGCATGCATTAGCTACAGTCCTTAACATGGACATGGAACTTTAGTTCAAGGCAAGCATAAGCAGTAGTAAAGGAAAAGCAATAAACAAGACAAAATATTCAAAGAGTACCTTTATTTTATGGTGTTCAACAAATTCTCCATAGGAATTTACATAGGCCACAGCCTTCTCCCTCAAAGACATCCCATAGCTCCAATTTAGAGAGCCAATGTGGTTTTGAATAGCTTCTGCCATGGTCTCCCAGTTGTGCTTCACTGAAAATAAGTAACCAGGGTGAAGTCATAGAGTGAATCTTACTGTAAATGGTAAATTATACACAACCACATCAGCCACATGATATATTGCTTTAAAAATCAAAAAATGAACAAAAGATAATTAGCAACCTAAACTTCTTTTATACCAGTTATGGTCTATACTTCTTCCTCTTTTATATTACGAAACATGCAAAAAAACATAGTTCTGAAAACAATAAAGCTGGAAAAAAGTCCATGGAGGACAGAATGGGGAAAACTAGCTCTCTTACGGCCATGCATGCAAAGTTATGAGGCAAGAAGATCATCTCTACTCGGGAGCACCAAGGACATTTTCACACTGCGGGCCTGTTGCACGTGGCCTTCTGCATGTGAAGGGAAGCAAAGCTCATGTCAGCGAGCACTGCATATTCACCTCCCCAGACAGGCTAGGCTACTCCCATTTGGTTCACCTGGCGGTGGTTTTATGATATGAATAAATGAGGCTAGTCTTCACTGTTGCAACCATTTGTATTAAAATGTTTACCCACTTCTTTTTGAAGTTGGGATGGGAGTTTGTGAAATTAGATTTCTCATCATCCCTGCATCTTATTTCCAGGCATTCACCTTACTTGCTGATGCTGGTTCCCAAAGGAGACGCCGTCTCCATGCATCACCATGTTTATAAGACACAGAAGCCAGCCTGGGGCTCCCATCAACCTACATGAGATCCCTGAAGACAAACCCAGCCAACTGAGGGTTCACCCTCTGGTCATATTTGGAGACTCACCCCATCTAGCACTATGAAGAAAGGCCCCACCACTAATCACCAGGGACATGGGACATTACAATGCAGGCAAGGGAAAGAAGTCACAGTGCAGAAAGGCTTAGCCAATGTACACGATTATGTCCCAGAAGTCACATCACCCTTTCTAGGATGCCAGTGTATAACAAAGTCAAATAGGACTTTGCAATCCAGAGGGTGATTCTGGTTACATTACCCGACGTCCACCCCATGATCCCAGGAGGTTACGACCCAGCAGTGATGACCCTTTCCACAATGGCACATACCCTCATATCCTAAGATAACTCTGCCTCACTCCCTCAAGAATTGGAAAAGCTATTCTTCCAACCCTTAAGGAAGCATTTATCCCAAGGACTTTGTCAGTTAAGTTCAACTTCATATCCTTGTTGTAAAAGACATTCTGTATTAGAGGTTCCCACACATGGCTGCACATCAGGACCCCTGGGAATCATGTTAAAATGTACAGATTCTAGGACCCACCTCAAACCTATGCAATCAGGAGCAAGATCTCAGAACCCATACAGTTAAAAAGTTCCCTCAGGAGATTTTAATATGTCAAGTCCATGAACTGGCATTTTGGAACCACTTGCTCTACTATTTTATTAATCTGTATAGTCCTGTAACTGTATCATAATTTTAAATACTAATGAGAAAAGTCATTCTCTACACATTCTCAAAGATTACCTATCCTTACGTACTTTTCAGTAAGAACTTTAGAATAATCTGTTAGCGCTAAAAAGAAAACTTTTGCTATTTTCACAGACTTATATAGAATTTACAAATTAAGTTTGAGATAATGGCTTCGAAATATTGATCCCCTCCAAAATTACAGTATATTTTTTATGCTTGTACATTCTTTTCTTATATATTTTGTACATTTCTGATGAAATTTATTCCATATTATTCTACCATTTTTGTTGCAATTTTCCATTATCCATTTAACAGTATTGCTGATATGTAAGAAAGCTATTGATTTTTGCACATTAACAAGCAACTTACTGAACTCTTGCTAATTTTAATATTTTTAATTCAGTATCTTGTACATTCTAGGTATACTGTATGTAATTCATATTTTAAATTTACAAAATCTCATTCTTCCTTCTTTTTAAATGTGTGCACTTTTTCTTATCTATTCTTCCATTTCGTACATTGGCAGAAGCACCAGGACAATGCGGATATTAGCAGTGGAAGTGTGCAGCTGTGTCTTATTCTTGACTTTAATGTAAATGCCTCAAAATTTTCTCCATTAAATATCTACTTCTGATTTTTCTTCATCATGTAAAGGAAGTGTCCATTTCTTTGCTTATTTCACTAACAGGTGTGGTTTTTTTAAAAGCAATAATGGATGTGAGATTTTTATCAAATGCCCTTGCAGCTGAAATCCAGGTCAACATGTGAATTTTATGTATTCTACCACGATTTCCTAAATGTTGACTCATTCTTGCATCCTCAGAATGAATCCTCATTAAGTTGCAGCGCATTCTTTTAGTAGAATGCTAGAGAGGATTTGCTAATGCTTTTTCTAGAGTTTTAGCACCTCTATGGACTACAGTTTTCTATTTTTACACTATTTTTCTGTATCATCATGTCAAAAATCTCTGGGGAAAGAGACAAATTATTGTAATTTTTTTTAACTCCACATTATTCTAATGATACAAGATCAGAATTGCACATCTAGCCTGTGAATCTCATGCCTTAAATCCTCTAAATACATCTCCCATTCTCTCCAGTTGACTTTACTGTCTTTGTCCAGGCCTCATCATTTCTCCTCTGGGTTATGCAATAGCTCCCCATCTCACTTCTAGCTTTCTAAATTCCTTGATGCCATCAGAGGGATCCAGAACCCAAACTGTGGTTCATGCCCCTCTCCTGCTGAAACTCCTCAACAGTTCTTGCTATCTTTGGGATAAACTTTAACTCCTCAAAACAGCATTTCAGAGCCTTTGTGACCTGCTTACCTCTGTAATCTCATTTCTACCAACATCCCTCCCCCATTCTTTATTCCAGTCCATCACTTACCTACCCCACCCCCAATACTTCCTGTTTTCTCATATCTCCATAGTTTTGGGTCAAACTGCTTCCTGTCTTAAATGTCCTACTTCCCTGTCACCTTCAAGATGCAGCTCAAGATGCAGGTCACTACCCCATCTCCAACCCTAAAGGCTACATTAAGTGCCCCTCAAGCTGATGCTCAAAACTGCACCATAAATTAGAGTGCACTGAATGGCCTCTCTCCTTTTCAAGTACACTATGTGCTGCTTAAGGGCAGGAGTTGTATTTTCCTCATATCTATATCCTCAAAGCCTAACCAGTAAGTGCTTATTGGATGAATTTGTTATCCATCTTTCATTAACTAAAGACACACATAACCAATGATAAAACAAAGTGTTATCACAATAATGGGAAAAGATCTAAATATTGACCCTTGCCATTCTATTTTCTTTATACTTGAAAGAAATCTGAAAATAGGGATATCTCCCTCACATTCTACTAAGGGTTTAGAATGGGCTATAGCTGCAACAATGCCCTCCTAGGCAGTAAGGCCCATGAGAGCCAAGCCAGGTTTACTTGACCTTCTCTGAGTTCTTTGTCCGTGACTGACACACAGGAGATTCCTAATGAACACTTATTAAACAAATTTTAAAGTGTATGTTTTATTTATTTTTTAAATATATCTTTATTGATTTCAGAGAGAGAAAGGGAGAGGGAGAGAGAGAGATAGAAACATCAATGATGAGTCACTGATCGGCTGCCTCCTGCATGCCCCCAACTGGGGATCGAGCCCGCAACCTGGGCATGTGCCCTGACCGGGAATCGAACCCCGATCGCCTGGATCCTCGGTCGACGCTCAACCGCTGAGCCACGCCGGCCGGGCTAAACAAATTTTAAACTCAGCTATAGAAATACAAATAGTCCAACCGGTGTGGCTCAGCGGTTGAGCACTGACCTATGATCCAGGAGATCATGGTTCAATTCCTGGTCAGGATACATGCCAAGATTGCAGGCTTGACCCCCAGTAGGGGGCGTGCAGGAGGCAGCCAATCAATGACTCATCATTAATGTTTCTCTCTCTCTCTCTCCCTCTCCCTTCCTCTCTCTGAAATCAATAAAGACATATTATAAGAAAAAAAAAGAAAAAAACAAATATTAATTCTTTCTCTAAGAAATCCATTCTTTCTTCTTTTCTCCCAATCTTTATTTTTATATACTATTACTCACCTTGTTGATTATACTCCCAGCCAAATTTCCTTGAGTCACTTAATGCCTGCCCCAAAAGGGCAGCTTGATGCATCAGTTTCTTAGGAACACAACCTACATTTACACAAGTACCGCCAAGACCTGAGAAAGAAAAGAATAGCTTTAATGCTTCATGTGTGTCTGTGTGTGTGTGGTTTTACACACGTGCAGAGTCAGTGTTATTAAAATGTGGAAATGACAAATTCAAATGGTTGTGGGGTCAACATCATAGCCCACAATAATATGCAAATGATTAATCCAAACTTTTTAATCACAGGTCTGTGAAGGAGGCCCAAGGATGAGCAAAAATGTGGATGTGCATTTGAATAGTTTTCTGGGGACACTGTTCAAAACTTTCACTTGAGTGACCTACAAAGGGATCAGAACTGTATTAGATTACTTATATACCACACCAATGGCCAGAACTCCAGCTCCCAGACTTTACTCTTTGTAACTCTGACTCCTCTGAGCCAATAGTAGGTCCACTGCAAGGTAAATTAGCTTTACTAATATGAAATTCTTAGCTATAATTTTTTGAGTAATTTGGAATTTTTAAAAATATTTTTCATATTTTGTCAGGGTTCTGGCAGGAAACAGATGACAGTCTCAAGCTGGGTAACTAGAGAAAGTTTATAGAGAAATTAGTACTGGGGTGTGGGCAAGCAAAGCAAGGAGGGACAGAAAAATAGTAAAAACTATTAACAGTAGGCTCATCATCAACCCCTCACGAAGGGGTAAGCACACCAAGCAGGTTCCACAGACCAAAGAGGGGCTGTGGCCTTCCATAGGGGACGGAGCCACAGCTTGCAGCAACCAGCAGGGAGGGAGCCAAGAAAATGAGGACCCCCCCCAACTCCATTCTCCTCCCTCCTTCTGCTCTCCTCCCATTACCCCAACTGGCCAAGCCCAGCCAGAAGCCAGAGGGTAAGGATACCAATTCATCAGCCTTCTGTGACATAGAGCATGGTAGAGACCATGATGAATGGATTTGAAGCACAAACAAAAAAATATCCAGCACAAACTCTATGTGTTCTATTTTACAGTGAAAAGAAATGGAAAGGTGAGCACTCTCATCTATAACAAAGTCACAGGCCTAGAAGCTCACTGTGCACTTCATTAAACTGACTGGAATGATCACACGTACACTATTCAACTGACCATCATGTAGCCATGAAAGTCAGTTATGAAATCAATGCAGAAACAAAAAATATATTACAGCAAACTTAAGTGAGCATGACACAGTCCACAGTACAACCACAACTATGTGAAAATATTAATGCGTGTGTGCAAAAATTATTATGGCAAAAGTGTTGGAATACTAGGTCATGGAATTTTCTTTTGCAAAATCTTCCCTAATTATTTTGATGTTATCTTTCCAAATCAGCAGTTGTTAACTATGAGATGGTCTTAGGCCAGTTACTTCACCTCACTGAGACCATTTCCTCACCTACGGGCCAGGCTAGTTATACCTCCTGAGATTGTTGTGAGGATTAAATGAGATTAAACAAAGCCAAAAATGTATGTGAAGAGCAGAGAACAACAAAGAAAAACATCTTACCCCAGGATGTACCCTGAGGTGACGGGACCACAAAATCTAGCACCATTACTTTCTTTCCCAAAATGGCAGCTTCCTAGGGAAAAAAGAGAAATAAAAAGACCTTGTCATTTCCTGACACTCCCCCAATTTTTCTATTCCCTAAATAAAAAGGCTGTGTTTGTGTCATAACATAGTCTTTCTCTTTATTAAACCAGCTATTACAATAAAAGCTTAGGCTATAACATCAAGATTGGCTTTTTTTTAAGTATCAAAAGAAATTCTTATGGCAATCATCAGGGAAATTATCTTCAAGTTTCATTTCTTTCATACCTGAGCACATGCAAGACCACCAGAACCACCACCGATGACTATGAGGTCATAATCATATGCCGCATCTCTCTGAAGAAGCTTCTGTAACAAACCACTCTGATGTGCCTATGGTTTCATGAAAGGAGAGAAAATGGTATGACTTGTTTTAAAACTGGTTCTTTTTACCCTATGTTTAATCAGCATGGATTTCTTTTATAAAAATCTTACAAACAACCTATAATTCATGTAAATTAGAATTGTAAGTTTATCTGAATGGTATTCAAATAAGGTCCAACTAGTTAGAACATAAGCCAAAGTACATGTTTGTTCCTTATCTCCTGAGGGGTAGGCACGTGTCAAATGGCCCAGAGGTCATGGCTTTCTATCTGTCAGATGAGGTCCTTTTCCTTGGTCTAATCTTTGAAATATTATACCCAAGTGCAATAAAATAGCCAACTACCATTTTTCAAGATCCTCTATATTTTGTTCACTGGTGCTAGGATTCATTTGGAAAATAATTCTTATGCTTCCTCAGCAGGACATGCGCTTCAAATTTTTCATGGTTTCTCATAAATTGACCTAAAATTTGCAGTTTACTGATAATTTCCTACATAAAACAAACATTTTTGCTTTTTCTTTCAGCAATGGTCATAAGCCTGGCTCTGCACTATATTCTCTTGTTCACCTGGCACCCCCTGTGATCAGAAGCAGCTTAGATGGTGAGGTTAGAGGTTCAATATCCGATTTAGCAATAGTTTTCCTTATATGAAGTCAGTTGCTCAATTTTATTATGTTGGCTCTGGAAACGCCATGCTGGAACCAGCTCATCCTGGGAAGCACAACAGAAGTGCTATGAAACTACAGGACTCAATAGATGCCATGTGGCCCACTGAAGGATGGATGCCAGCGGAGGCTTTCCGCACATTCTAAAACAGACTCCTTTGGCCTCCTTACATTTAGGTGCCCTTAGAGAAATCTTTGCAAAGCTCCCATGGTTAGCAGCCTTGACAGGAATTCTACTTAACCTAGCCAAGAATGTTAGCACTGACCTCAGTTTAATAAACCGGAAAGAGAGAATAGCCCTTGTTTCTCTCCACATCAGGAAAGACAACAAGGTCTCCAGGATGGCCCACCTGGTGGTCTGACAACCTCGCTCAAAACCTTCTCCTTCTTAGTTTCTGAAGTTTGAGTTGGTAGAAAAGTTAATTTCCATCAAAGTAATAATCAAGGTTACCTGATAACCATCCTATACACGTCCCATCTTACAAATTTCAAAAGACTAATGGACTCCTAAAAACCATTTTATCCCCTTTTAAATATTTTTAAAAACAAAACTTGAACAAGCAACATTAAAAACACATAATACCATTATTACCTGGAAAGTTTGGTCATATCCACCCATATGTACTTTATTCACAAAAATACTGGGCACAGTTCTCTGATTAGTGATCTCTGACAGCACTTCTTGAACACTGGCCCCATCATCTAAAGAATAAAAAATATATAAAAACACTGAAAGGGTTCCAAACCTTTTTGAGTCAAAATGAAGTGTTACAACACTCAAATGCTGCCACGTACACACCCATACAAGGTCAGCGTGTTATATAACTTTATGAAATAATGACTCAAGAGGCAAAACATCCAGGTTTTCAAGAGAAACCTTAGAGAATAAAGACCTATCTACTGATTCCTTTTAAAATAAACCTTTCTAATTTAGATTTTGATATATAATTCAATGGTTATGCCAGGCAAATAGATGAGAATCCTCTTTAAAGAGCAAATATCAAGATAAAATCTGTTTCAATGGTAATAACTCAAAATATTTTCTACAATTATATTTGAAAAATCTTTTTGATCATAGCACAAAATTTGTCCTCTATCCCTAACAATAAAACCAGGCCACAACTACCTAAGACTATTTGATATACTCTTTAGAAAAGTCTCAAAGATTTAAGAACATTTCACTTATTAAGGTGCCTGGCTAGAAGGAGTTGGTGAAGTCCCATCAAGGCAGACATCAATATTTTTCTGTTCATCACTCTGTCTCCCTCTGCAAAACACATGTCTGTGTAAAGTGCTCAATTAGTATTAGATCAATTAATGCATGTTTGAGAAGAATTCAAATTGTAAAGCTAAAAGGTTATGTGTTCTACCTCATAGGTAATGAAATCAGGAAATAGGGGCAGATTCTTTCCATTTATTACAGCTTAATCTATTTTGCTAGAAAGTTATCAGATACATCTCAAATGCGTGAAGTGCTTCAAGATTAGCAGCTTATACATTTTCCTCCCACTCCCTCTCCTCAAGTAACAAAAATATATAAATAAAAAAACTACAAATTATCTGTCATATAGAGGTTCATTTTCTACATAGTTGAATGTAGACAAAAATAGCTCATCTAACCCAGAGACAAGAGTAAATTGAATTGAACAAAGCAAATGAAAAGAAGTCAATCTTGTTGACATTTATTGAAACAACAGTATGTACTAATCATTCCACTTACCCACTTTATCAAGTTCCAAGATATTATACTCAACTCCCAAAGAAGAAAAAAGTTCTTTAACCTGTAACAAAAATTATACTTAAGTTTTTACTCTCATAAAGATTCAATAGAGTTATGAAATATGGACACAGTAATAAAGTATGTCCAAAGTAAATGTTCTTCAGAAATATGAGCTTTGGCCTATGCCTTTTTGTTGTTGCTTTTAATCCTCACTGGAGGATGTGTTTTTATTGTTTGTTTTGTTTTTTAGAGAGTGGGAGGGGTGGGGAGGGACAGAAATATCGATGTAAGAGAGAAACGTTGATCGTTTGCCTCCCATATGTGCCCCAACAGGGAATTCGAACCCACAACCTAGGTATGTTCCCTGACCAGGAATCGAACCCTCCACTTTTTGGTGTGTGGACTGATACTCCAACCAACCGAGCCACCCAGTCAGGGTGGCTTATTTTTTTATTCCCTTCCTCTCCCCATCTTCCCAGAATAACCTCAGCCCATCTCTTCCCTTCTTTTTCCATTTGTATCCTCGTCTTCCAACTCTGTAACTTTTGCCCTAATCCGTCTTCTCTACTCAAGACAGGCAAAAATATTTCTTCACCTGAATGTCCCCAGGCACCTCACATGCAATATGCCCAAAATAAAACTCATCTTCTCCCACATACATTTCCCTCTTTCTATGCTTCCTTTAAACAATCTTGTATCATTCAACAAATATTTATCCATCAAATATCTACTATGTAGTCAAGATATAACAATGAATAAGACACAATCCCTGCCCTCTAGTAGGGGAAAGAGACAGACAAATTGACAACTCACACCACCACTGTTCGCCAAGTGCCTGAACAAGAAACCCTTGGGCCTTGCTGTTCAAATAGGGGACAGAGAAAAAGCCGCAGCACGGGCATCACCTAGCAGCTTGTTAGACATGCAGAATCAAGCCCTGGATCAGAACCTGCATCTTGACAACTGTGCGAAGCACTATGAGTCATTTTAATGTCTCCCTCTCTTGCAACATCTTCCTACCCTACACTAACTCCTCACCCATCCAACTAATTACTAAGTCTTATCACTTCTCTATGCTGAACTAGTTCACCTTTCTAGTTCCCAACAGTTGCTATCTTAATTTGAGCAATTTCTCAGTAACATCCTAGGAGTTATCTCTGCATCCAGCTTTGTCCTTTCCAGTTCTCTAAATTGCAGCCAAAGTGATCTTCCAAAGCCCACTTTTCACCATTACTTAAACTCTTTAAGGTCCTCCCTCAAAATAAAGCCCAGAGGTTCTGATCCCAGGATGGAGGCATAAGGAGTCTGGCAGATTCACTCCCTAACAAAACACCCACAACTGGTGAAATTATTTTAAAAACAACAATTTAAAGTCTCTGGAAATTGTCCTGAGGGCACACAACAAATGAAGAAACATGTATTCAAGAAAATCTAATAGCTGTCAATAAAAACAGGGAGAGTCTGAGGCACTTAAGTCGAAACCTACACCCTCCCTCCTCTATCCTAGGTCAGCCTGGTAGAAGCTCCACTTCGAGTGAACAGCCAAGTACATGAGGTTCCCTAGTCCCTGAAATCTAGTCACCAGAAGGGGCAGACCACCAGCATTTCTCAGTCTCCTCACGGCTCTAAGTGGCAAAGGCTACATTCCTGACAAGGGTGGCCAAAAACATGGGGGCACTTTCCTCTACCCAGTCTGCACTTAAAGATCAAAGGCTTTACCCGAGGCTGAAAATACTGGGGACCTGATCACCCTTGCCTCAGCCCACTTGCAGGGTGAAGTTTCAGGCTGGGCAAGGTAAGCCAAAAAGATCATAGGCTATTGCCCCACCCAGAGCTCTGATCATAAAGCCTTATGTATAGAAAAGCAGCTGGAAACATCTTGGGTTGGACTTACAACTTGGATGGGGCAAGATATCAGAGAATCACTAGGGTGGGGCAAACAGTATTAGGCAGGTTGATGGAGACTCAGATATGGCCCCCACCTGTTGGCTCTTCAGAGGGAGAGCTCAGCAAAGGAACAACACCCTCTGCCAGCACTTCCATCAGGGAAAAAGCTGCCCCTCCAACCCTTGCCCCAAATCCAGACAATTCTGTTCCTCCCAGATGTTCCTGTGCCTTTTGAGCTGCTGCCCCAGCACTGGAGCTCAGAGCAAGTGAGTCCAAGTGAGAGGAAGGCCTGGGATTCCTGAGGTAGCCATAATACCCACTGGTTCTTACAGCCAGAAGTTACGAAGACTTCTCTTCCCGGCACTGGAACCCTAGAATGGGGCCCTGCTGTAGGGCTGGGAACTCTCGCTCCTCAGAGGGGACGTCCACAGCCAAGATATCCCTCCTGCCCTGGCTACAAAATGGGTGAACCTTGAGGACATTATGGCTCAGTGAAATAAGTCTTTCACGGAAGGACAAATATTGCATGATTCCACTTATATGTGGTAACGAGAGTAGTCAAACTCATGTAGACAGAAAGTAGAATGGTGGTTTCCAGGGCCTGGAGGAGGGGGAAGGGGACAATATTGTTTAATGGATACAGAATTTCAGTTGGAGAAGATGAGAAAAAGTTCTGTGGATAGATGGTGGTGATGGTTGCAAAACAATGTAAATGTAATAATGCTACTGAACTTTAAAATGGTTAAAATAGCCCAGTGTGGCTCAGTTGGTTGAGCCTTGTCCCATGCACCAAGATGTCACAGGTTCAATTCCCGGTCAGGACACATGCCTGGGTTGTGGGCTTGATTCCCAGTAGGAGGCTGCAAAAGGCAGACAATTGATGTTTCTCCCTCTCCCTTCCTCTCTCTCTAAAATCAATGAAAAAATATGTTAAAAAAAAAGTTTTATAAAAAAGGTTAAAATAGTAAAAAAGCCGACCAATGGAAGTATACATTTTTTAACCCACAAATGTATGAATCAGAATTGGCTTAAAATTAATGTGGGGAAGGGGTTTTTTTTAAATTGGGGCATTTTCTTCACCGTTTAGTTTGGGCCATTATTTTGTATCTGACTAATGGTAACTTCCTGACTAATCTAGCGGCCTCCATATGAAGTCTAGTTTTCATACTACTGCCAGATTTCAAATCACAGGTCAGACCCTTCACTCCTCTTCTCAAAAGTATGCATTATTAAGTCCACACTTAGCATTTTAAGACCTCCTCAATATGACTCTAAAACTAAACTTTCAACCATTTTCCAATTTACTATCCTGATTTCCTTTCATATACCCTAAGTGCAACCCCACTATTTTTATTAGATCAACTCCTATCTGCCTATATACTACTTCCTTCACTAGATGCTATTCCTTACTTACAGACATCTAATTTCTCTCTCATGGATCAGCTTAAATATTATTTCCTTAAATTTTTCTGATCCCCCACAGAAGCAATTGTTTTTGTCTCTCATTCCCACTACGCTTGTTTTCCACAGGTATTTCTTTCTGTACATGAAAGCTGGTGGATTACAGCTCAATTAGACCATGAGTACTTGGAAGGCAAAACCACGGTTTATTCACTTTTGTGTCCCCACAACACTAAGCACACAGTAACACAGTAAATGACATCAAGGAACAAACCTCTCTACTTGACTTTGCACAAACATATAAAGACAGATGATATGAACACATAAGAAAGTGGGCTGCTTAGCCAGGCAAGGAAAATACTGAAAGATCTGTCATCTGCACAATAGAGCAACACTCACCTCCAAAAGTGAGTAAATGATTCAGGGAGACAGATTTTTGCTCATTTAAAAAAAAATCTAATAATAAGAGCTATCCAATTATGTAATGGGACTCAAAGTATTGTCCACATTACTGGAAGTGTTGACATACACAGAATGAAAAATATCTGTCCTATAATTTTCTGCATCAGCAAAGGTTTGACTAGAATGATCTAAGACCAATTATTCATTCAACCCATATAACGTACCCCAGCCCACATTCTAGGCCCCAGTGACACAGCAGTAAACAGGCACAGTTCTGACTTCTTGGTGCTTTTTGGTGGAAAGCATGGACTCACCAATAAATGAAGAAGGGACAACTGATAAGTCATAAATAAATAAACTGTGTCCCTACTCACATCATCAAGTCCAGGTGACATAAAGGTGAGTGTGAAAGGCACACTGTAAAACTTTCAAGAACTAAAACAGGAGAATTATCTTTATGACCTCAGAGTAGAAACAGGTTTCTTAAATAAGACACAAAAAGCACAAACCATAAAAGGAACAAAGTAATAGATTTGACTACATTAAACTTGCAAACTTCGGTTACCAAAAGATCCCATAGTGTAAAAAGAAGAAACAAATCTGGGAAATTTTCCAATACATATAACCAAAGGATTGATATCCAAAACATATAAAGTATACCTACAAATCAGTACAAAAATAAAACCACCTGACAGAGAAAAAAGCAAAAGGAATGAAAGCTTCATAGAAGAGGAAACTCAAATGACCCATAAACACATGAAAAGATGTTCAACTTCATCAGGAAATGTAAAATTAAAGCCACAACAAAGTACTATTTCATAATTGCCAGAATGGCAATAATTAAATATATCAACTGTTGTCAAGAGCATGAAGCAAATGAGAACTGTTTCAGGCTGCCAGTGGGAGAGTAAATTGGTATAACTACTTAAAAAACCGGTTTTGGCATCACCTAGTTAAGGTAGAAATCATGCATCCTCTATGGCTCAGCAATTCAACTTCAATATATCTACTGTAAAATAAGTCTTACATATGCACTGGGAGATATATGCAAGAACAGGAATAGCTGTATTGCTTTTAAGAGCAAAGAAGTAGAAACAATCAATAAACTGTAGTATTATTTATTCTAGGGAATGTTAACAGTAATGAAAATTAACAAACCACAGCTACAGAAACTAACATGCATGAGTCTGTAAAACATAACTGTTGAGGGAAAAAAATAGCAAAAGAATACATATGTATGATTCTACTTACATAAAGTACCAAAACGGGCCAAAAGGAACAAAATACTTTCAGAATTATATGTGTATTTGGTGAAACTGCAAAGAAAACCAAGAAATTTTGGATAGTAGTTCGCTCCGAGTGGAGAGAGGAG